TCGAACCATTGATTTTGTGGTAAGCAGCTCAGTGTCAAGCCCACTAGGCCACCAGGGCTCCTAGACTCATGTGTTTTTATAGACATTTAAGAGGTTAAGAATTTTATGTACATAAAGGCCTTTCTCAAGAGCTCTGATGGCATAGTGGGTGATACTATGGGCTGCTAACAGCAACATCAGCAGTTGAAACCCACCAGCCACTCCTTGGGAGAAAAATGAGGCGTTCAGCTCCAGTAAAGCTATGATCCTCAAAACTCAAAGGAGTATTTCTTATTCTGTTCTATAGGGCCAATATGAGTCAGAATCAATTCCATGGCATTTAGTAAAGGTCTTTCCTTTAAACAAATATTCTTATTTACTTCTAGTACATGTATTTTTTTTGCATTTTATTTTTATAAATGGTGTGAGATAAAGACCTTAATTTGTTTTCTTCCAGTCTTATAATCAACTGTGCCAATCATTTATTAAATAATGTATTCTTTACCACTGAGCCAAAATGCTATTTTTGCAATGATGTATTATATTTATTTGCATGTTTCTGGACTCCGTATTCTGTTCCATTGATCTATTTGTCTAGACTTGCTCCTCTTAATTATAGTAGTTTTATAGTAAGTTTTAAAATGTGGTAAGACAAGCTTTTCATTTTTATCTTTCTTGTTCGGAATGTTCCTGGCAATGCTTGCATATTTATTCATCCATATGGACTTTAAAACAGTTTGGCCCAGTTCCAAAGAGGTCCATTGAAATTCCCAGTGGAATATTACTATCATGGATGGAGGACAGAACATTTTATTCTACTCAATATTCCTTAATAGAGTGGAACATGATCTGTTTTCTTACTTAATCATATTTTATTTAAGTTCTTTAATACATTTTTTTCATATACATATTGAGTCATTCTTGCTAATTTTTGGCTTCATTCCTTTTGCTCTTGTGAATGGATTCTTCCTTTCACTCCATCACTGTCTTTCCCATTTACAACCAATTTTCTAGCCATACATCTCACTAGTCCTATCTTATAACCGCATCACCAAATCAATTTATTAGTTTAATAGCTTTCTACTTGAGTCTTATAGAATTCCTAGGGTAGCATTATCTCCTCTACAAATTAAGATTATTTTTTCTTCTAGTAAATATCCAAGTTGTATCTTGTTTTGGACTTACTATTAAAATTTTCAAAGCAATAGTGATTATTAATGGTAGTACATGTCATGTATGGTCTCATTTTCTATTTTAATGACAATCTCAAGTGTTTCAAGTTTGATATACTTTCACTTTTCATGATTTAAGAAGAGCATTTAAAAAAAAAAGAAGAGCATTTTCTTCATATTTAGATAATTTATTTCTATTTCTATTTCTATTTACCCAAAGTATTGTTTAGGAAAGGCCACTGAAGCTTACCAAGTTTTTACATCTTTTTTTTTTTTTTTTAGTTTTTACATCTTTAAAAACATTTTAAATATAACTATATTTATTCCCTAAGCTAATATAATAAATTTGTTAGATTTTAAAAAAAATTTTTTTTTAGATTTCTTAATAATGAACCACTCTTGCATTCTTGGAATAAACTCTTAATAGTAATGATGAATTATTTCATTTGCCAATGCTTAATTGGTAGGAGGCTTGGTGGTGTAGTGGGTTACACATTTGGCTGCTAACTGCAAGGTCAGCAGTTTGAAACCACCAGCCACTCTGTGGAAGAAAGATGATGTTATAAGGTTTTCTACTCCTGTAAAGAGTTACAATTGAGGAAGTGCTGAAATCCTGGTGGGGACTGAGCATGATAGTGGGGTAGGAGGAGAATCAAGGGAAATAGAGGAAAGAGCTGGGAGG